GATTGAAACTGCATTGATCCGGGCCCAGATTGAAATTCAATCCTTCAATCCAGTCTCAAAACCGGAATGAGTATTGAGATGCCAGGCTACTGCGCAGTTTGAAAGATCTTGTGTAGGTGTACGTCTGTGTGTGTGTATGCTAAGGGTTGTCGTATTAAAGTGGAGAGACAGACATACAGAGGATATGAGGAACAGAACAGCGGGGACAGGATATGAAGAGGTCGAAACGGACAGAAAAGCGTGGATCTGTGGCGGTTAGCGTATATATATATATATACATATATATATATACATATATATATATATATATACATATATATATATATATACACATCTGTGTGTGTTGTGGCGCTGCACGTGTAAACATATCTATGTATGTATCTATGTATGTATGTATGTATGTATGTATGTATGTATGTGTGCATGTGTGTGTATAAAGCACTTCTGGCCTATACATGACGCATATTTGCACCCAGGCCACGCACGCAGTCCAGATCGGCAGGGCACCTGACTCAGGTTGTGAAAACTTAACCGATACCGAGGTAATCATCCGTGCGGGGACAGGAGCACACCTGGCAAACTCGTCGGTTGCAGCATGAACCTCCTACAGCACATGTTCTACAAGCTGTGTGCAACCGATGCCAAGGCACAAATGGTTTGTATGAGCTGGACATTGAAGGGAGTCACGGGATAACCTTCTCTATTCAGCGTCGCTTCCAAGGACATCTGGTCGTGAACGATGTGGTAGAGTGTGAAGGTCACCGTCAGGACAAGCCCCCAACTTCCCAGAAACCAAATAGGGTAGAAGATTTTGGGTGCCTGAGCGCAGGTTCGTGCCTATGGAGTTTAGGGCCGTTGAAAGGGTGGTGGGTTTAGGGTTCCTGACAGCGGGCATGCCAAGGACAAGCAGCGAAGCGGAACTCCGAATATAGAGGCTTTACGGCAACTTTAATTAATTAAGAGCGGACAAACTTGGTACAGATCTGCAGTGTGATAAGGAACCCTTAATATAGTAAGGCATACTATTGGTAGATATTGCGACCCCTATATAATGTAGTGTATATCAGATGCATGCAAGACCAGTGCATGCGTCAGAGATAACACAGAAGAAGCCTGCGTGTTTTCTGATCCTTTATCATGCAATCACTCACTCAGACGAAGAAGACGCGCACGGTTACATCGGGCCACCAGGCTTCTTTGCTGCAGCACGGGTTCGCTGCAATAAGATGAGACTGAGACGCACCATAATTCATGTTGTGAGGGTTATAGTTATGTGCTGCGATGGGCCAGCCTCTCAACCGCAGTCGCACATCCTCATCTGAGGAACGACATCGAACTGCTCGCCCCGTCTGAACATTCCCGGCACATCAGAGCTAGTGTTCCTATTTGTTCCCGTGCCTGACCTGCAGAAGATGACAGCGACCACAGGATGGCAGTTTCTTTCACCCCCGCCCCTCCCCGCAACGCACGCTCACCGAATGCCTTCAAGGTCCCAGCGTGTAAGGGCACTCTGACATGCACTTGCCCTTTACCGGTGGACAATGGCAACAGACGGTGCGGTGTCTCGCTTGTTCTCTTCTTCTTCTCCGGGGCTTAGGGAGCGTGTCAGTCCCCCCGCACCGCAAGGTGCACCCCCCCTCTTGGGGGCTTTGTAGGGGGTTGTCGGTAAAAGATATAGTTGCCCGGTCAAAAGTATTCTCGCTTGTTCTCTCTCTATCTCTCTCTCGGGCTTAAGGGGCGAATTACCAGCCTTGCGTCTGAACAGTTGAACACCCTACAGAAGTATTCACCGTACTTTCATATATAACCGGCCTCGTGCACATGGTCCCAGAGGTAATAGCCCCATAGGGCTTGCAAGGGCATGGCAGCTCGATACGGAATTGAGTCAAGGGGTTTCGGTCTCAAAAGCTGAGTCTGCGGCGGAGACACTTTTGCTGCAGGTCAACATGATATCGTTCTGCAACTCAAAACATAACACCTGAACCCTATAGAAAACCCTTCGAACAAAGCTTGGGGTTCCTTGGCCCTTGGTGGAACCTACGTAAGAAATTTTGCAGGCTTCTGAAGTTCGTGTCTCGGGCCGGCAACTGTCCTTCCCTGATCTTCTCTTCAATCTGCTCATGCCCCTCACCAAGATACTACAGGGGGCCTTAATTCACAATAAGACTGGGGCAGCGGGGCATATTCTACTATTCAATCATCTGGGCCATTCAGGGATAAGAGTACGCTCCTTTATTTTTTGCCTCCCGGCTGGCTAGGACGAACCTATGATGCAGGGTCAATACTCAGCAATTGCTTCGAGTGACAGAAAATGAGGGAGCATCGTCATTGCGATTAAGTATGCCAGCTGCGAACAAAGTGGGCTCCTGGCACTGTTCCAGCAGAGTCGATGCTGCCATATCGCCATAACGATCATGGCAGGTGCAGCTCAACAACCCGCATTGATTTTCATAATGTCTATGCTATCTCTCTCTCTCTCTCTCTGACGTGCCATCATTAAGGAGTCTCGCAATGCAAAGGCACGAAAAACGCAGGCTGGAATGTCTATGTTCTAGTACATTGTATTATGGTGTGATGCCTATCCAGCATTACTCAAGAGAGATTGACGCACTTGTTGTTCTTAGACCTGGCTTCCATGGCTCGTGGAAGCACATCCTCCATGTTCCGATTCTATAGTGCAAAGGCTGAAGGAAGGCTTCAGGCATCTTCATGCTGGTCCAGCGCTGGCAATTCGGACCCGATGTGACCAGCAAAAAAGTGCAAAGTCAACGATGTGACTGACGCCCCCCCTCCCTGCCTCAATGCACTCATCCAGCGCTGTGCCTGCATGCTGGTTGTTGCCACGCATCCTGTTCCCAAGTTAAGCCTTCGAGCATTGCTCCGATATGCATGATGAATGCCGGGTCCATGATTTTGGGTTGCTTGTGAAGCTATGTCGCGTTTCGCTACGAAAGGGTGCTCCGAAAGCGATGGGGTCAACAGTACGGCGAGCAATCCACAGACTGCTACCACTGCATACATGAAAAAGTTGATCGCCCCATTGACCTCAACAAGTTTAGAGCTGAGTGAGAACGGAATTTGAGGGGAAAACGGAAAATCCAATTTCCGCGTAGTCTTCGCAGACTTTGTCCTCAGACTACGCTGCCGGAAAACAGAATATTCCTCTACGCACTTTGCTGCTGATCGGTCCATCCGGAGGAAGTAGGCACTGGGTGGTCAAATGAGGACTGAAAGGTACAATAGCGGAGGAGTGATCAGCCCAGTATACATCGTGGAAACGGTCACACAAGGCTTGCCTCGGCCCAGCATCTCCTCAACCCTTCGCATCGTAGGAGTCTTTGCCAGTTCGGCTTCCCAGGCCCACTACACTGCGTCCAAGGAGGAGAGATTGGGCCAAGCTGGCGTGGTGATTGCGGGGCTTGAAAACTGGCAGTGGCACTCGGCCCGAAATGGCCTGGCAAAGTAACCTAGCAAGGACTTCCGAGGGTGCGTGCTGTTCAAGCCGCTGCCACTGGGCCTTTAAACAGTGCCTCTGTGCGATGGGTCAATCCAAGTCCCACGGGCATGGGCTGCGGACACCACAGACAGCCCGAAACTGAAGGGCACGCCTGACAACGTCATCACGCAAGGTCGCGCTGCTTTGATGGAATGTCTTGGACTCTTGAAATTGGTGGTGATGAGTAGGAGCCTACTGTAAGCTAAGTCGCACCACGACGCTCGACGTGATGATCCCAATCTTCGGAAAGAGGAGGCTTGACAAAACATCGCTGGGTTCAGGTCCATCAGCTTTCCGTCTGCTCGGGGGTGCTCATGTCGCTCTGTGTCTTCGATTATTTCTGCTTTCTGCAGCAGAGGCCGTGAAAGAAACTGTTCTCTCTCTAACCCTCTCCCTCTCTCGTGGCTTCTCTTCCTCCCCTTCGTGTGTGGCATCTTGTTCATCTTTCCGATGTCGTCATGAACTGCATCCCAACCTTCGCCGCAGTAGAGGTATGCACTTGCAGAGACCAGCCCCCTCCTCCGGGAAGGTGCTGTCGGACCTTCCGGATTGGCATTCTCGAGGGTGCTCGGTAGGGACGGAACGAGCCCATCTTCGTTCCGTTTGTCTGTCTGTTGCCCCAAAAGTAGGACCGTCGAGTGCTGGAAGTGGAATAAGCAGCCGCAGCAACAGCAGCAGCAGCAGCAGCAGCAGCAGCAGCAGCAGCAGCAATGGCGGTGTTGGTAGTCTGGTAGTCGTCGTCGTTCTAGCTGGGACGGTGCTGGTTATGTTCGTAGTAAGCCGTGGTACTATCAGCGATCACAACATAAACACATTGAGGTGTAACAACAACAGAAGTAGGCAGCCCTGTTCCATTGGTGCGGCTGGATATGTCAGATACCGGTGTCTGGGATACTTTCTCGATCTTGGGCTCCTTCCCTCCGTTCCACGGCACGAGAAGATTCGGTGAAACAGGCGTGCTCATCTAGGAACTCTTCGCCTAAAGCGGCAGTAACTTTCCCTCTGATGTCCTCTTGTTCCTACACTTGTAAGTAGAGATACGGTCTTCATAAGGTTGCGCTTCGGTGCTCTTCGGGCCCGTAAGCTAAGGCTAGTACTCAGACCGAGGATTCAACATCGCTGTGATCAGCTTCTCAGGGATCCAGCAGGGAAGGCACAGCCAAATCTGCAAAGAATGAGCGCAAGCACAACTGGAACTCACTGCAGCTGCCACGTCCAGGGATGCAGAGCTTACGCAACTCCGCAGCTGGATCTCCGGCTGAACGGCACGTAGCACAAATCGTAAGATTCAAAGACAGCTGATTTCGGATAACTGCTTGCACCGACTCTGCTTGTCCCATTAACCAGTCCAGCTTCAATCACTCCAAGCAAGACCTCCCAAACTCATCATTACAACTGGGGGTTTGGGTCATCGTGTCGGATTCGCACGCCAGGCTTTTGTTTTTCACGTACGGCTGGAAGTGACAAAAACCAGTACTAACAAAAGCATTGCAAGTAGTCGCCGGGTGCCGGGTGGCAACGCAAATGATGTCGGCTTGGCTCTGTGCCGGCTCGCCTCTGCATAGAAACAACCCAGCCCGAACTGTAAAGACTCAAGCCTGGATATCCGCTTCCCGACTACTGATTGATTTCCCTAACCTAAAACCGCTGGCTCTGAAAATCTCAAGTTGGGAATGTTTCTGGAAGCGGCAAGCACAGCTCCTCCTACTTGGGCCCCCGGAGCGCACTGCCTCAAGGTGCATGGCATCTTTATCTGCTTTGTCTGTGGCCAACCAGCAGGCTTCCGGGGTGGTGCGGGTGAAAATCTCCAAAACTTGGGCATTCGGTCTCCCATGGTCGCAAGACTCTAGGAGAGAGAGGGAACGAATGGCAGCGGAGCAGTCGCCCAATGGCTAAGCGAGCCAGAGAAGTGCGTTGCCACTCGCCGCCATGTTGCCCAAGTCAGCCCTCGACCTCATCAGGCTATGACGGATATCACACTAGCATGCACCTGAGTGCCAACGACTACATAGAGGCGACCTGGAAGGAACGACCACGGCGATCCGACAACAACTGCACACATCCATCTCTACACTCTACACCAATAAATACTCTGTATACAATTCAAACTTCTATACGCCATACGACAGACACCGAATTCAGAAGCTTGTTCTTGGGAAGTAGAGGCTCGAGGACGGATCTGAGGACCCCGCAAGCTCGATCGAGGAATCCTGTTCCGCTCCAACGAGGGTCAAGGTTTGAAGGTTTTAGGCTGATTTTATAAAGGTTTATAGGGCATTAAGGTTACGGGCTTAGGGTTTTGGGGTTCAGGGCTTCTTTTTGACACTCACACTCGGACAAAGCCTGGCAAGGTCTGTAGAGTTACTGGTCGGGTCCAACGTTGAAACAAGAGAACTCACAGTAGGCATCAAAACGCCAGAGACACATGAACAACCACAGAATGAGCTCATCTGACAACAGACCCTCCACAAGCCAATAATCTAAACCCATACACAACCACCACCTAGTTCGAGCCTCGCGAGGATCTGGTGACACAAAAGGTCGTCAACAGGAGCAAGCATGCAGACAGGCATAGGCTTCGGCATTGCAGAACATGCTCAACACGCACTATAAATTACAAGATGCATATAACGGCGGAACTAGGATCCCGGAGATCCGGTTGTCACATTCTCCCATCCTCACATCCTGATTTCCAACAAGGACAGAGACTGCTCATGCATCACGCGCAGAGGATCCCACTCTTGTCGTCGGCTGAACTGGGGGCTGCTGGGGCTGCGTTCCAGGAGAGTCGAGCAGTCAACATGCGGTTCTGAATACCATCCATGCAGTAGCGGCTTGCAGCATCCTTATCCAGGCATGGGCCCCAATAATGGCCCATAGCAAATTCCACGCAAGTAGATTCCCAGACCAGCTCGGGAAATATTCATGCACCATGCAGTACCAATTAGCGCAGAAGAGTACTAAATTCCTCCCCAGAAAGGGTCAAGGGCTTTAGGGGTTTAGCCTTTAGTTTTGACTCTCGCAACTCTCATAAGGAACACAAACCGGACAATCCAAGCGAGGCATGCGGTCTGGAGTCGGCTGCACGGGACAATGATCGAGATATCATGCGGAAGTTCACACAACAAGCTACGCTGTAGTCTAAAACTTACAACAGACCGTTGCTTCTTAGGCTCCAATGTTGTGTTTAGGGCTTTCGGGCTTAAGGCTTAAGGTTTGCCTGGGATTGAGTTTGGGGTCTGGTCCATGGGGCTTGGACCTTTAAGCTGCATGAGTTCGGCTCACAACTCCGACAAACCCGAGACAAATGCCGTTAGTTCAGCTACGTGATTTGGGGAATCCACCGTTAGACGACCGGCTTCTGCATCCGCCCTCAAACCCTAAACCCTGAAAATGTATCGATATGCAATCCTGGCCTCAGACGCGCGCTGACGGCGCAGCGTAACCGTGAGGTCCTTCAGTTGGCAAGATAAAAAGCAGACACCTCTTCCTCGAATCTTAGGCATACACAATCCATTGACTGCTTACGGATACATAGACGTTTGCAGCTGGTGGAGTGCTGCATAACATAGTCTAAACGGTTTTGGTTCTCAAGCGTTGGACATTCCAAAGAAGACTTTCTTGAGTTGAAGCAGGAGGGGTCAAGAAGTTGCGATGTGAGGCGTGGTCCTGCATTATGGTTCGTGGGGGGGTCCTGTGTAAACCAATGACTGGCGGTCTTGAAGCAACTGACTTGCTTCTGAACAGCTCCACGAACTCTGACGGTGCTTTTTCTGGCCTCCTAGCTGCTTGCACGAGCTGTGTATTTTTAGCATCAGATTACACGTGAAGTTGTAGGTCAACAAGTTCAACAACTGTATCTATACGTGTATATGTACCACTTACCAACCTGCCTACCTACCTACCTGACTACCTGCCTACATTCATACCTACATGCGCTTGCATCTTCATTTGTCATCTTTGTTCATTCGTTCATTCACTCGTCCACCTATTCCCGACAAGTATCTATCGCTACCCAGATCCCTTTTTTGTATCCGGGCTTGGGAAGTCGGCCAGGGAAAGTGAACCCAAAACGGGCCCCGAACCGGATGAGACACATTAACCAACAGAACTCAGGAAGTCGATGAGGGAAACGGCACTCGGTTGCAGCCACCTGCTCGAGCCGAGGGAAGTCGAACCTCAGGACTTGTTTTTCTTTTCTTATCTGAATGCCTTTCGGGGGGCGTTATAGAGTTTCGGGAGTTTGGGATTGTTGGTCGAATTCAGGGTTTCTGCGCAGTTTTAGGAAGAACTCGCACCTATTGCCAGCTCACTGCAAGCCCCACAA